GGCTCCTCGCGTCACTGGTCCGGAGGGGGCCCCTGTTCTGAGATGGCTCCGATGTTCATCCCCTTTCTCTGGGGACACTCTCATTTATAATGTCCAGGTTGTTTACAGTAGTAACATACCTCGCTGGCCCTTTGAACTGAGGACCACCCTTCGCCCTGATTTCTCTGACCTAATCCCTTTCATTGAAACCCTCACTGGCTGACTCCTGGAACCTGGTGCCCAGGCAGCGCCCTCTACAGCCCTGCATGCCCCCAACCCCCCACAGGACAGAGTGCCCACCTGTCCCACTCATGGACGCTGCTCCCTGCCTGCCCAAAGCCTCATAGGGAGTTTTTGGGTTGTACAAGGGGGAGGGAGGGAGGGTGCTGACCCAGCCCATGACAGCTCATCAACACTCCCTATGTGACCCTTGGGCCCAAATAATTGGATAATTATAATAATAGGAGGTGACTAGTTTGCAGATTTCTTCTTTAGAAGTATATGCCTCCACCAAAATGATTGCTACAGTTCTTAGAAGGTAAGACCCAAATGCAAAAGTAAAGGCATTTTGCCTGCTATGTCCCTCTTGACACATCCAATGCATCAGGGTATTAATACCCCGAATTAAGTTACCCATTCACCAGGCAACAGAGCACAAGCATGGTGCTTGATTTCCCCAATGCTTCTCTACACATGTTTTACCGTACATAAAATACATAAATCTCTGCCACGGCTTTTCTGTTGCAAAAATGGCTTTGGACAGAAGGACTGCTGTGCCATTTTCTGTTATTTGTATGACTGAAAGTTCTGTTCTTTCTGTACACTATATTTACATTTTTAGCCCAATGACGGAGGATGCTGTGACCTATTTGGAAGTCATAACAGTAATGATTACCATGACATATTTCTGTCCCTAACTGCTTCCTTCCAAATGCCAGATAACAAACTTTTGTGGATTGGGTTGGAATGCCCAAGGGAACTGTTTTGTCATCACATTTACTAGGTCTAATGAGCCCTGCTACTCATGTTGATGTCACCAGAAGTGCAACTGTTCATTCTTGCCTGAGCTGGTGCATCAAAACAGACAGAAGCAAAAAGAGTAGGAAAGCACATAGCAAATTCTCTAAACATGATTGGGAAACACACCTATGGCAACCACTCCTTGTTAGATCTGGAAGACTAATTGCAGAGCTCGCCAAAGAGAGGAACAGCTGACTAACTCCTTTTTAAAAGCAGGAGGAAGGGAATAAGAGACGCTGGATGTTGGGTGCTCAACGAATTTGGGATCAGTGGTTCCCTCCCCTACTTTGGCAGTCCCCAAAACTACATTGTAAATTTCTTTTCTTATGGACATACTGTGAAAAAATGCTATAGCTGACTGCACACACTAACTGGAGATGATAACAGCTCCTATGAAGTGAAGCGGCAATGCCTATCCAGAAATGGATTTTCCAGTCCTGTCCTGCCTACAAGATTCCTCAAAGTGTAAATATACAGCTCTGCATTCTTGCCCATACTACATCTCTATGGCTCCAACCAGAGTGATTTGATGTGTACAGTGGAGCACTCTTGTGTCTTCTGGTCAGCACCTGAGTTGCAAGTTAACCATTTCATCTAAGGCATTAGGAGCATTTTTTAGCCTTTATACTATGGTTTGTCTAAATAATTTAAACAGATACTGATTGGCCATTTTTCCTATTTTAGAAAAAGTCAGAATTTTACTGTTTAAACATTAAATATTTTGCTTAAATGTTATATAGTTCCTTTCAAGTAATACCAAAAGGACATCAACTAATTTATGGCCCAACTCATCTCACCAACAATGTTAACTTCTCAGCCAAACGAATGCTGCTTGCATTAGATTTTACAACACTAACTGTACCTACATCTTATTCTGCACTAATTTACTAAGCAAGTTCCTCCACACTGGTTCTCTGGGTGCAAGGGAAATTTTTTCAGTTTTAAAAAAACCTGAATTTAAATCTATTTTCATACTGCAAAGTTCTACTCTGGTGTACTTTAATTAATTTATTCAGGCAAAATAAGTAACTTTGCTTTCTAACCTGGTGTTTCTGAAGAGTTGGACAGTGGTGCTGATGCTTCTGCTAAAGCTGCTAATGTAGCTAATACAGAAGTGGAGGAATTTCCAAACTGTACAGCAGATACTCCTGTTTCATCTAAAAGGAGAAAAGATAAAGTTAATTTACAAACCTGCACAAAAAAAGACTATGTAGTCTCTTTTTAAAACTCTTACTTATTATAGTGAAGACTTTAATATATTGCAATATATTGTTCTTGCTATAAATTAAAGTAGTATTCTGAAGGCATGTTTGTTAGGCAAATGTAGATTGAGAAATTACTACAATGTAGATTATTATTCTGCAACAGGATATTTATATTCAAAAACAATGAAGAGGAAAAAGGCAACTACTGTACTCCTATCATTTTTCTCAGTAGCTTTTTCATAAAATGGTGAAAATCAATTAAATATACAATCCCAATAACTATTCCTATATGTATCTAAATGCCCATTGCATTTGATATATTTGCAGAAGATACCAGACCTGTTAGGTTCACCACCCCTCCAGGTCCAATGATAAACTGTGGTGTTGCTGCATGTATTGTCACAGTGTCTGGACTCTCTGGATTTGTATTGATTTGGTTCTGCATTGCAATCTAGGAGGCAAAGGTAAAAATACTGTTCAGTCTGCAGATAAAGAAAAGGTACTAACTATATAGGAATTAGAGTTCTTTAAGACATACCCCATACGTACATTCGACTACAGTGCTTGAATTCTGAAACATTTCCAGCTAGCAGTTCCTATATTTCACATTCTTTTGCATAGAATATGCACCTTTTTTTCCAACATTTAGCCACTGGAAATTGTAATATGTACCACAACTGAGGAAATATGGTAATAACAGTTTCTGCCTCTGCAGGCAGAGGGATAAGGGGGATTGAAAGTAATGCAGCAATGTGGTTCTGTAGCTACTAGCTGTGAACACTTTCTCTTTCCCCATAACAAAGGCTCCTGCTACAGAAGCCAGAAAAGATTTTTTTTCTTCATTTGGTCTTTTAAAAACAAGATGTATATCTTATTCAGGGGTGGACAGTATGCAAGAAAATACAATAGTACACACATGCTTGTTGCTACTGTTCATATTTGGCACCAAGGTCAGAAAAAGCAGAATACATCTACTCTGCCTTAGTTTTTTTCTCAATTCCAGAAAATTGAGGTGTGCTAGGTTCTGAAAAACAGAACATTTGAGGGCAGGCTGCAAAATGTGCGTAAGGAGAGCATCCCTCAAAGAACTCTACTTCCAAGCAGTTACTTATGTTATGTTCTCCTTTGAGTGATCATCCATCTAAACATTCTTCTGTATGTGATTCCAAAGTAGGAACTCAGACACTTGGATGGAGGCAGAGTTGCAGAGTCAAGGGAACAGCAAGTGAAGAATTACTTTACTGATCTTGACGCTTGAGAAACTGTATGTCTCATGAATGTATGAACAGGACTCCAAATGGCCACTTCACAGATTTCTAGGATGAATGTATTTTTCAGCAACTCTGTAGATGTTGCTTGAGCTCTGGTAGACTCCTTGAGGAGGATTCACATTACTATATCATATAGCATGCAAAGAGAAGAATCTTGTTCATTTTGCCTGGTAAGCCTGCCTTACCAAGATCTTCCTGCTACTGGCCAAGATGTTTCAAAGGGGGCACAACAGTCCCCACTCCTCACTCAGGAGCCAGAATCTAAGCCTCAGGGAGGATTTCCTTTCCATCCTGGAATAAAAGTTCCAGGAGAAAAGATACGAATTCTAGGTGGCTAAATATGAGACGTAAAATATTGTGGAAGCAGAACTGTTTCAGCCACATCAGGCTATCAAGATCAAGCTGGCCATGACTTGCCTGGCTTTGCAAAGAACTCTGGAAATGAGACGGTTGGTGGTACAATTCCCATTCCCCTTCCATAAGAAAGCCCCCTTGATTCAAGATTTTTGTGGAAAAAACCTGATGCTTCTCATTGGTTTAAGCTGTGAACAGGTTGGTCCACCCTAGAATCATTCGACTGTGATTAGAAGAGAGGTGCTGGCTAAGTCTACTCACCCAGCTACTCTGATTAATAGAGAATAGTATTGTAGAAAGGCAGATCTGATGCACCAGAACAGTGTGTGTTGCAACTGTCTGAGAGTGCAATCACTGCCTGGCACTGCTGAGTGGGAGTGAAGATTAAAACGTTGTTTGCTGATGTAAAATATATCTGTGATGCTGTTTGTCAACCTTGCTATAGGTTAGTGATTCTCAACCTCATTAGACTCAAGGCACCCCTCAGAAAATGCCAACTCTTATGTTTCTACAATCAAAAAACAAGTGAAAGGTAACAGAGGAATTCTTCTGTTGCAAAAAACTAAGAAAGACCATGGCAGGTCAGAATGTTTTTGAATCTGTGGATTCCTAACTGAAATCTCTAGGTTTAATTTTGTGAATCATGTGTAAGTGTTTGTATATCTAACAGCGCCAAAGCACCCTGGCTGAGAATCACTGCTACAGACTATACCAAGATGTGCTGCAGAAAAGACTGCTAGGCCTTTCAGACTGTTCTAGACTCTGGAATTTTGATAAGCAGATCTTTCCCTTTTTGGACCACAGGACTTAAGCTGAAGAACATCCATGTCTACTGTGCATTCCAGCAATGTCACAGTCATCTCAAAAGTAAGGGAGGGAGGTGAAAGGAACTCTCCTATGAATATTCTCAAGGTCCTTTCAACACTTCAAAGATGACAAAGCTAACAGGAAAACCATCACAAGAATATCCAGCAGTTGTTTGCCTGTTGAACAAACCAATCTTCAACAGCCCGCCATGTGTCAAAATGTACTCTGGCATGTGGTATCACTTAGATGTACAAGGCTGCAGAAGTTGGTATGGTCAGAGTAGCCCCCAGTAGTGAAATCAGGCTCTCTTAAACCTGTTTGAGAAAGATATGCTATATCTGACCCAGAGTCCAAGGTGACCCCAATGAATGCAAGTTTTTATGAGATTCGATTTCTGGTTGTTTACCTTCAAACCCAAGTCTTGAAACAGATAGAGGACGTGTCAAATGTTTTAAACGCCTATACAAAAAAATCTCATTTTCACTAGTCAGTTATATCCAAGGAAGGTTTCCATACATTGCTTGCAATAGTAGCAGCCCATCTCCAGAGCAACACTTTTGTGAATACCCTTGAAGTTACAGACCAGAGGGTAAAATTTTGTTTTAATAGAAATTCTGGCTTACTGCAAGCTTCAGTGAGAAGGGATTACCTCTGTGAAAAGGGATTAAAGATAAACTGAAGAATGAATCTTGTAAATCAAGAGAAGTGTCATTCATCAACACTATCTTGAACTTCGGCTTATGAACTAAGGAACTGATTTTCTTCACGTCCAACATGGACCTTCTTCAGAATTAGGACAGCAGCTGTAGAACCTCTCACCACTTCTGATGAGGAACCTCTTCCATTACTTTCATGCAGAGAACCTCTTCTAATAACAGGACCTCATGTGAAAGACCCCTGAAGAGTGACTAAGTTCATCTGAATGGTATAACCAGTCAAGATTATCTAATATGGAAACACTAGTACCTGAAGTGAGCAAGGCAGTTCCCACATGTAATTGATTCTGAAATCACATGAATTGGTCTTGATGTCTCAATAACCCCTTCAAAATGTCTTCTTATCCATGGTCAGGTTAGATGTTGTAGTCAGCTGCCTTTCTACAATCACTATTTTGTGTAAGACAGCTGGAAAATGTATGATGGAAGAAAGCGGGTTCATGTTTGAGAGGACACCTAGAGGACCTTTTTTTTGTTGTTTTTAAGCTGCCAGGGAGTAAATGCCTAAGGAATAGAGCATCACTCTAGAATCCTTCAGAGTATGAAGTACAGAATCCAACTTGACACTGAACAACTCCATTCCCTCAAAACAGCAGGTCCTCCACTGCACTCTGTACACGTAGACCTGGCTACTTCTGTCCCCATCAAATGGGAAAATACAGTGCCCCCTATCTTGGACCACCTGTAAACTAACCTTAGCTGCTGATAGTGTCAAAAGGCCAAATGAGAGAAATTCTTCCCTCAAGCAAAATAACAGCTTGTTCAAAAAGAAGGCAGGCCTCTCAGACCATGGAGCTAAACCTTGATGGCAGGACCTTGATAACCAGGGATTCTGAACTGTAAGCTCACAGAAAAGCATATTCGTGGCATAATAAAGCCAATCTCCGACTCCACTGCCTTGAGAAATAGCTATGATCTGGCGGGCCTTCTTGTTTCTGTTATGAGTCAAGAGCAGAAATATCCCTATGCACCTCTGGTGAAAACTGGTGCATCTTGTTCATCTTATGTAATGTATGGATTGCCTTTGCCCATTACCCAGAACGGTCTGGAGAACTGGGAGTTTGGCTCAGCTTTTCTTTCATGAGGTCCATAACCAATACAGCCACAGTGGCATAGGGTCCCTTAAAAACCTCATGAAATCAGTGCCTGGTATCCTAGTATTTGCTCCAAGGTGATTCTCCAGACATCATATGGCAATGGATACTCTAGAAGAGCACTCGTGTGTATACTCCGAGCCCTGGCCATCCTCAGACACCGAAGAAGCCCAAGAGAACGAACTCAATATATCTAATGGCACTCCCAATGGCCATGGGGAAAATTGTTAGGAAGCCTGGCTGCAGAAATATCGGGGCCTTAGTGCTATCAGCAATATGGAAGTAAACAAGAGCAATGACTGTGGTTCCTTTAAGTCTTTCTGTCAATGGTATAAGCCTGGTCAGTGCTACTGGCTGCTCAAACGAGTGTAGCAGGGTCACTGCCTCCCTCTAGATCTGCATCAGTGCATTCAGTGATATCATGGCTAAAGAGAAATGCTTTCGTGCCATACTTGGAATAGATGCTATCAAGCCAGGGGCTGAAGAAGCCAGACCCCAAAATAAAAGGCAGACATCTTCTGCGATACCATAGCCACTTGGTTGTCATCCCCATGACACACAAGCATGGGTAGATCTGTCCCATATGTTTCCATTTCCAGTAGGAGTGTTGGGGGTGCAAGACCACAAAGAGCTGCATAGGACAGAGTAACTCCTACCTGCTTTAGGCTGATCAGAGCCTAAAGCAAGAGACGTGCATGCATGTGGTCTGGCCTTTTCTGGGCAGGCTTTGCAGCACAGTGTAGTTGCACAGCTCTTGCAGAAGCAGGAACATGGCTGAGAAGCACTAAGGTAAGCTGAGGCAGCATCAACAGTAGCTCTCAGCCAGGTGTGCTGCTGCATTTAAAAAAAAGTGATGGCGGGGTGCCATGACCCTGAAAAGGTTGAGAATTACTGGTCTAGGAGCTACTGAAGGTAGACTGTAAAAGGGAAAGGACTGAGAACCTGCACCAAAATATGTAAATAATTCTGGGCCATGGACAGATGAATATTTGATCTGCTTCAAATTCTGCTCCAGTTTGAAGCACTTCAGGCCATGGGCAGACATGCAATCCCCTGTATGTACCAGAAGACTGAAAGGAAGGAGGCATGCACAGATTCCTGTTCTCCAGTCCCAGAGTCTCTCATAGGTCTTGGGCTCGAAAGATTCCCAAAGATGGCTGAGTGCACGTGAAAACATTCATATCAGTAAGCTGCCTGCCCCACCCTCCATACCCACTCTCTCCATAAGGGGAGGGAAGAGGAGGAAAGCAGAACACTAAAGTATGCTAAAGGAGTAAGCACCACCCCTGCTCCTTCCTGTGCTCTTCGAAAAGAAGTGATTAAAAAAGTTCTTCATTTTTTGTAATGAAAGAGCAAAAGCAACAGCAGACTGTTAGCAGGACCAGCTACCTAGGATTTGGGGTCTCGAATAACTGGCACCCTCCCTTATTCCAGGCCAAACAGGTCTAATCTCAGATCCTAAACTAGAAGTGCGTCAATATATTGGTTGCATAGCAGATCAGCACTGATAATAGGAAAATTAACATTATCTGCAATCAACTTCTTTTGGCTGTTAATGTCACTAATAAATGTTGTGTGCATAAGCGCAGCCGTAGCATGCACATGGCCAAGAATGCAGCCCAGCAGCTTGGAGAGCAGTGTCCTGCCACTAAGTCTGGGGGGTGGGGGAGGAAGAGGCATGAGGGGCACAGATCAAGGCCCCCATGGCGAGGGAGGCAGGGGCTGGGGCAGGCACTGTTCAGCCAGGGCAGTGAATGGGACCCCGCAGCAGGGAGCAGAATGGAGTCACAAGCAGCTCATCCAGGGGCATGGGAAAGGGAGGGGAGAGAGGCTCCCTGCCGCTGTGCACACCCCTGGGGGAGGCATGGGGGGCATGTGCCGCCCCAGATTTGTGTGCGGCGTGGAGGCAGGCTGCCTGCTGAGGGCTCGGGGCCAGGGGCAGCGCCAGTCCCTTCCTGGTGGCGGGGCTGGGCCGGGGCAGGGCTTGGAGTGGACAGGCTCAGCTCTGTGGGGTGGGAAGCAGTGGTGATGCCTGGAGAGGTGGCTATAGCCCCCCAAGCCTCCCCTCCAGCATGCCCATGCTCAGGGCACAAGAGATCCCGAGACAAAGACAGCAGAGTGGAGTACTCTGAGCAGGAGCAGCATTGGGGGGATTACAGTCACCCCAAAATTCCCTGTAGCCCTCCCCCATAGCCACCCCTTCCAGTGTCATCACTCATCCCACCCAGCTAAGGCTGCCCCGTTCTTGCCTGCCGTGGCCAGGCCCCCCACCAGATAGAAGGTGGCGCTGCCCCTGGCCAGAGCAGGAAGCCCACCCTTACCCCATACAAATCTGGGGAGCACATGCCTCCATGCTTCCCTCAAGCTGCGCACAGTGGCAGGGAGCTGCTCCTGCCTCCCAATGCCCCACGCCTCCTGGATGAGTCACCCACAGCTCCATTCTGCTTCTGGCCCCAAGGTCGCATTCACTGCTTTGGCTGGGCAGCACCCCCAGCCCCAGGCCCTGTCCCACTCCCTCTCTCACTGTGGGGGCCTCAATCTGCACACCCCGTGACCCTTCCCTCCCCCATGACCCTTCCCCCGCAACAGACTTACCAGCAGGAGACTGCATTGGCCAATACAGCTGGTTAATAACCAGCTATTGGTATCAGCCAAGAAAATCTTTATTGGTACACCCCTATCCTAAACTCATCTGAAGATCCATGCAAGTTATATACTTGTAAACTAGAAAACCTATTCCAAGGGTTGGGCCTTTCCAATCCTTGTTAGGGAAAGTTGAGTTAGTATCTAGTCTAGGGGAGGGCAAAATATGGCCCATGGGCTGGATTTGCCTGCCAGGTAATTCCATCTGGCACACTAGGCCCCTCCATAAGCCCTGGCCCTCACTACCCCTGTGCAAGCCAGTGCCTCCATGCAGGAGGTGTGGCTCCGGTTGCTAAGCAACCACCCCCCACCCCAGCCTGGCCAGTTCCACCCCCAGCCAGAGGGCACTAGAGACAAGAAGCTTCTGGCTGACAGAGTCTTTTGCCTGCTTACCCCATGGTGGTTTCCAGAACTTCCTGCCTGTGAGAGTGGAAATGCAGGTAAGGGCCCCACTGGGCTGGGGCCAGGGACTCCTGATGGGGGAAAACAGGACGGGAACGCAGGGAGCCATATGCTATGGGGTCAGGCTGGGCTGGCCCCACACGCTGCAGGAGCTAAGCTTTGTGGGGCTGGTTGGGACTGGCCCCACATGTTGCCACCATGTGCAGCTGGGGACTTGGGTGGGAGTGCTATTGGGCTGGGTGGAGCTGGCCCCACATGCTGCTGCCGCCACCTGTGGCCACAGACTAGGGTGGGAGCATGGGGTGATGCATGCTATGGGGCTGGGCAGGGCTGGCCCCACTCAGTGCCACCACATGCAGCTCCAGGGGC